GTTGAAATAAAGCTGCGTTCGAAAGCAAGCATGCCTATGGACGTGAAATGCCGCAGTCCCCCAGTCTGACGATGTCCACTGCCTCCTCCAGCATGTAGATGCTAAACGTAGTGACTTACGTGGCATCTAATACACGCTGTTTTAACACCCTCAACTGCTCGTTGTCAATATGAAGTCAAGAATACCGGAGACAGAATCAGGCGTGGGCGGCCGGAATCGCGATGCCCGAATCAGATCTCACCGCGTGAGACAACCATAAAGACCATGCTTAGCTGGTGCCTGTGACTCTTATTTGGCGTGCCCCCAAAGCTCTATAGAAGTGGCGCTATGAATACTAGCCCACAAACACGCGCGTGCGCGCCTGATTACACACAACAATTGGTTACAATTTCAATTTATCAAGAGTACACGGGCAGGAGCTCGGATCCCAGATTTTTTATTCGCGCTTTCTAGTCAAAAAAGGACTGATCGTTTGTTTTCGAAAGTATCGCATAGGGAAGTCGCCAAATACACACTCACGGGTCTCATATGCTAACATACGTACAAAGCAGTTTACTTTTCCTTGTTTAATATTCAGTGATCGCTAACAGACCGCAGGTGTACTGTCCTGTCTTAGGCTTCCATCTCAAACCCTACCAACAGCCTCACAGCGCCTAATAGTGCAGGTACATTGTGCGAGCGGTGAACGAGGCCCCCGGTTGGAGGATTGAGCGGCACAATACATGGAGTTGGATTTGACTGGCTGATGTCGCCTTAAAAGCCCGAAATGGCAAATTTACTCTAGCTTATCTTCGTCGTTATTGCACTTTTATCTACATGTAAATAATTCATTGGAGTTCGTGAGCAAGAAACTGCATAGAGCACGCCAGGGTAGCGACTGAGGATTAATCACGTTGACGCAGTGACAAGGTATCTTTCTATGGAAGATCTTGAATTGCTGGATGATTCAGTCAGTTATTGAAGAGTGGTTTTGAAATGTACATTTCTCGCGGCTTCAGTGCAATGACAGCACGTACACGGTTCGGCGCACAGCAAGGGCTATGTTTACGCAGTCCGAGTCATGTGGACTCCCAAGTACCCTTGCTGGTCACCTCCATTTGA